TTAATAATTTATTTTTTTATTTTTCAGAGCCAGCTGAAGGATTGCTCATAAGACGATTTCGGACGCTTACAAGTGGTTTTATAACATCACCACTTCAGGGGCTTGGCTCACCGACGATGTAAGTGAAGTATTAATAATGTTATTTTTTACGTATACATATTTTTGAGTTTTGAATTTATGAAATTAAATAACTCCCTTTTTAATTGGCGTTTTCTGATGCAGCACATTGACTTCGCTATGGATTTGCTACGAAATCAAGTTGAAAGACATCCAAGATTGTTCAACATTCCTCGCCGAGTCATATTGAACACTGAGTTCATACATGTCGCTAACATTGAGTACTAGTCGTTCCAAACTATGGGTAGCGAGTACACGGTGCCTACATACATGATGGAGTGGGTCGTAGGGATGTAACCAAGTGTCGAGGAAAAGTCATGGGAGGGTTGTATGCATTTGTACATCCCGGTATGTGTAAATCATCACTATATTGCAGTGAAGATTGTATTCGTTGACTCGACTATGTATGTGTATGACTCCAATCATTCATGCCTGACACAAGGTCAGTTCGAGCAAAATCTGGAGTCGGTGTCTGTGATCATCCCCATGCTAGCTAGACGAGCGAACATTATTGTGCAGGACAAACTGGCCACCGTGTGAGACATGACGACGACGACGAGACAACAAATATCGTAAATGTTTGTTATTTTATTTTTTTAATTTACAATTTACGTTCTAGTTAGATGGTGATGTGCTAATACAATATTTTGTAATTGTAGGGGTGATTGCGTTATATTCGCCATCAAGTACATATAATCTTTTAGTATAACACAAAAGGTTGATGCAATCAACCAGACGTGGATACAAAATTGGAAAAATAAATTAATGTGATTTATTTGAATTTAATGGTGATCCGTAGTTATTGGAGCCGTGTTTTTTTAAAATAATTGTACATATTATAACGTTTAAACATTGTATATTCATTCATTAAATTCAATCTTCATCTCTGTTAGATATACCTATGCATCATAGGATTTACTTTCTATTTTGACCATAAACTTTTCAAACTCTTGAAAAAATGTAAGCCTCTGCAGTTCTTCTAAACAACGTAATGATGTCCTTGCCTCGATACTTGGTATTTAGATTTCCTTGTATATGGTACATAAATAACCATGATGTGCTTCGGGGAAGATTTCGGCGATAACGTTAATTATTGACTGTCCTCGGTCGATTACAAATGCAAGGTTCTCAACATCCCCAATTACTTCCCTCAATTTCGTGAAAAACCAACGCATCGTCAGATCATTTTCTCCATCGACTATGCCGAAGTATCTCGCCTTAAGTGGCGTACCGTCAATTAGGATTAGGGGTCGTAATGCATTTTGAAATCTTCGAACCCATTATCCAAGGGCCATAAAGAAATATTTGAAGTGATTCTCGTCATCATTCTCAATAAAAAAAATACTGATCCAGTATTAATTCTTCCCATAATATAGCAAAACCTCACCAATTTAAATAAACAATAATCATAATTTAAATAATTAAATAAACTGAAAAATTAACAATTGAATTAAATAATTAATTACACATTAAATAAAGAATTGATAAATATTTAAATAAACAATTGAAATTAATGATTGAATTAAATAATTAGTTAGACATTAAGTAAACAATTGATCAAATAATTAATTAAACAATTGAAATAAATAATTAACATTTGAAATAAATATTAAATAAATATCTAAACAAAGAAATACCTGACCAATTTAGCATAACTCTCCTCGGTCGAACCCATCAAGTCTTCCAACGTGCATTTTTTGGTCTTCCAAGCTTTCTGATAGCTCATGATCATCCCGTATTCTCAACGGACATTATTAATGATATTCAAAGGTCTGTAGATTATTCGTGACTCCTGAAACTTGTGCATTACTTCTTGACCAATGAACCATGATCGGGCTTGCTTGTGATCATTTCGACGAATATCTACTTCGCAAGTATGTTCTCGTGCATACTTACGAACTACAAGAACTCATCCGTATCCATTTTCATTGCTCGCAAACGCCAAAGGCCATTGTCGTCAACGCAGACAATTGTATAAGTCGACTCGTTTGATTTCTTCACTTTAAACTCAAAATTGTGTTTCAAAGCAATCCGGTGAACAGCTTCCTGCAAATCTTTCTTCGTGTCAAACAATTGCTCGACATACAAATCTTCATCATCAAGGACTACATGAAAACAATTTGAGGACCGTGCACTTGGTCCAGCTTGTGAGCTCCCACTCGACTCATATCTCAGACGGGATATAGTAATCAAATTCTCATTTGTAAAGTCATTATTTCTTTCGTTGTCTTGAACTACCGAACAAATTCTGTGTGTAATAGTGAGATCATGGTGACGAGCAACTGTCTCTGGAATAGCCACAACATTATCACTCACTATTTCCACAGTGTCCCAAAACTCATTCACATTACGATCCCCTCCATCGAAATTTTCGTGTTCACTCTCGGGGACATTCTTTTTCATCAAAATTATGCAAATAGGAATCGCACGTTCCTGGTTCATTTCAATTAAAACCTTCATTTCAGTTTCAGAAGTAACTATTATAGGTGGAATTGAAATAGATGTATGCTCGCCCATTAGAAATCTCAATTTCATGTTGTACTCAGAGGGATCGACTTTCAGCAAGTTCTGTATCTCATTGTATACTTCTGTTTATGATGTACTTGATGTTATTACAATTGCAGTACAACCATGTCTTTCACTCGTCAATTTTCACATCCATCGATCATTTTCATCCTTTTCAAATTCATCAAAGTAACAAATCGAGACAGTAGCTGATCTTATATCTGCATTAGGAAACATCATTTATTAAAAAAATCGTAATTACGAGAATAAAATGACGAAAAAAATATGCTATGCAAGACACAAACACATTAAAATAAAAAAATTCCGATGCAGACAGTTTGGGCCAAATGTTAAGCACAGCCGGCCCGAACTGTCTGTCCGACTTCTCCATTTTGCTGATTTTTACTGAACAGATGAATTTTTTCCTCGCTTTTGCTAAAAAATTATACATTCGTTTAAGACTGTAATAATTTATTTTTCTAAAATTATACGTTGAAATAAGATTTAAAGATTCAAATAATGTACTAATTTAACTAAAATGAAATTAAAAATAAGTATTTATACTTACCAATTTTGAGTGCCGGCTGTGACTAATATTTTTGTTGAGCTTTTGATAATTTTGTGAGATTTCAATGTTCAAGCAGATGGAAAAGGAAATTTCTTTTTAACTGTGTTGAAAAATCTGATAAGGAAAGTGAGTTCGTTTTGATATTTAAGTGGGAGTGTTTGGATTTATTAATTTTTTAAAGAGGGTATTATTGTCTTTTGAGCAAATGATATATTTTTTTAATTACAAAACATAATAAGGGGAAAAATGACATTTACTTTTCAAAAGGCTCTTTTTGTGAATGGCAAAAAAATTTTGGTCAATGTCACAAAGTGGTCTTTTGTTTATGTCCTTTTGAAAAGTACCCCTGAAAATATAGCCAAATAAAATCATGTTCCAAATTCGTAAAAGAATTATTCATATGATAAAAATATAAAAGTTTGTCTTTTTATACCTGATTCATTTATTGAGTCCCATAAATCCTGACACCACGACTGCACCTCATCGTCTGCCAACCAATAATCCGCTCTAACTTGTGAGAAATAAGGAAATGGGTGAGTGAGTACACGTGAATATTCAATAGGACACGAAATAATGGTGTAATCTTGAATAACAAATTTAAAACATGTGTAAAAAAATATCATATATTTAGAAATCGGTAAGAGATTCATAAATATCATATCTTTGATACCGAATGACCATAACATATATATATCGTATCTTTAACTTTTATTAGTATAATAATTTAACAATATGAAAAAATAATTTAAACAAGATAAGAATCAACGGCACGTCATTATCTTACCTTGTTAGATCAAATAAATTTGAAAGGCAAAAAAACCAAAATCACGTTCCAAATCTTTATTTACTACCTATTTGCTATATATGTGTATCTATATATTCTAGGGGTGCAAATAATGAAACCTATAGTACGGTATTTAAGGTTGAAAAGGAAGTTGGATTTATGGTAAAATTAAACCCTAAAGTGCCGTGTTCCACTATACAAACATACTACAATCATTATCCCATGATAAGGGAAAATAATTCATCTCTAACAAACCCAACACATGTCAGCCAAACTCGTAAGAATATTGCTCAGTGTACTAAGCAATTTCTTACAAGGGACTTACCAATCCCTCACTGTAGAGGTCAGTCCTACATAAAAAAAAAGGCCGAGGCTCGCGAATGTGAGTAGTCTAGCAGTGGTATGTAAAACAGACCCTTATAAGTGTAGCAGGTTCCAACTCGTAATCCAAACTAAATTAAAAATAAATAAATAAATAAAAAACCATCCATACATGTGATAGCAACCCCTTTTAAATTCAAAATTTTGATTCAAATGAGAAACTAATTTTTAACAACTTCAAACTGCAATATCTTGAAATTGACTTATTAGAATCAACTTTTTCTCGAGCCTAAAATAAATGATTAAATACGAGCTATTCAATTAGCCCAATATTAATATACTTATTATTGTTCTATCAAAATCTAATTATTTGACCTAAAATTATAAAAATTTGATACATATATCACTTTAGTCCTCCAACGTTCTAAAATAAAAAAAATATATATAGCAAATGGAACAAGAAATTCTATTTTATGAATTTTTTGGGGGGTTTTACAAGTCTAGGTGTCATGTAATTGATTGAATATCTTAAATGTAATTTATTTTCCTACTTTTACGACGATTCTATCAATTAATGACACTAAAAATGCCAACTAGACTTGGGTGGTTGTATGCATAAATAATGAAGGCGACCCTAGTGGATGAAAGACACATTCATAAATATCAAGAACTATTCCATTAATTGCATGTCTTTAAGAAAATGAAAGAATTTGCAAATTTGTTATTATCAAGTCTACCTACATCTTTCTAAACATGAACGCCGGTCCATTGTCCATGGAAATTTTTGCAATTTATATTCATATGGTAAAATCAGACCCTCTCTTTAGGCTTGGGACAGTACTGCTGTGATTTTAAGAGAATCAACTTTAGGACCTTGCTCAAGAATCAGTTGATAAGAAATGGAAGCACCATTATTGGGTGATTCAAGGGAAATTCAAGATTTGAAGCAAATAATTTGGATTGAATCCAAGAAGCTATGGTTCATAGTTGGGCCTGCAATTTTCTGCAGGATTTCTATTTACTCCATGAATGTCATAACTCAAGCTTTTGCAGGCCACCTTGGTGAAACTGAACTTGCTGCTATTTCCATTGTGAATAATGTCATCACTGGTTTTACTTTTGGCCTTCTGGTACTACTTCACCTGAACTTCGTGTATGTATATGTATTTATATGCGTGTTGATATATGTAGAAGTGCTCGAGGCATGTCATTAGGGCACTACTTTGGTTCTCTCATTTCAAAACTTATTTTTAGATACACATTCTCCCATACAATAATTTTACATATACACCCAAAAATTTTTCTTACCTTTTAATCACACATTTTTCAAAACATCACTATTCTATAATATATTTTATCCCAAAAATGGGATCAAACGGGGGCTGAAATTCTTAAAGCCATGGCTTTTGCGTGCTGTAATACCCTGTTTGTTGAACCACATGACTCAACTGTAAGGGAACGTCATTTTAGTTTGAGTCCCTTTTTTTCAAAAAATGCATTATGTAATTGTGTTACTATGGATAATGTGTAGTTAAAAAAAAAAAAGAAAAGTTTTGAATTTGTTTGTAATATTATTTTATTGAAGAATGTATTGTTTGAGAAGAGATCAAATTAATGCTGAATACATTTTGATGGAAAAAATGGGGCTCTAACAAGGGCTTAATTAAGTTTAGTTTTCAATGCATCCCTAACATTTTTTAACGAAACATCCTTAAAATACAATTTTAATGAACAAGTGGTGTCCAAACTTGAACTCTAAAAACCAGAAATGGCCAATGAACTCTACTCTGTATTTCATTTTGGTCACCCAACTTTTTCATGTTTGAGCCCATTTTTAGGGGATAATGTATTTTGAAATAATATTTTTTTGGAGTATGTGTGGTTAAAATATAAGAAAAAGTTTTGGACATATATATATATATATATATGTTTATTTATTTATTTTTTTTTATTTATTTATTTTTTGAGAGAATGCGTAGTTGAAAATGAGTTTGGAAAAAAAAAATGAGTTTTTGGAAAAATGGAGGCCAAACATATTTCATTCTAAATTTTGTAACTATATTTTGTAAATTGCTTCAATAAGCAGCGTATAATTATGATTTCAACATGCTCCCTCACTTGCATAACCAAAAATTTGACACGCTGCATAATTTTCATAAATTGATGGTGGCTAGACCTGAATAGACCTTTGTTGGTGAAGAAACTCCTTTGTTTATTTAAATTTAGTCTTTGACACTTGCTCACACAAATATACTTACTCACAAGAAATAAGTTAATCAATCTAACGTTCTCGTGTTTTTCTTTTGGAACTTGATTAGTTGGGCATGGCAAGTGCATTGGAAACTCTATGTGGACAAGCATTCGGTGCAAAACGATACCATATGTTAGGAGTGTACATGCAACGCTCTTGGATTGTCCTCTTCTTATGCTGCATATTGCTTTTGCCCTTTTACATATTTGCTTCTCCAATCTTGAAGCTACTTGGGCAGCCACAGAACGTGGCCGAACTCTCTGGTTATGTGGCCTTATGGATGATCCCTATCCATTTCAGCTTTGCCTTTCAGTTCCCACTGCAGAGGTTTTTGCAATGCCAGTTGAAGAATTCTGTTATTGCGTGGGTGTCCTTATTTGCCCTTATTGTGCATTTGGTGGTTAGCTGGTTGTTTGTGTATGGACTCAGCCTTGGAGTGGTGGGCACTGCCGTGACTCTGAATATTTCGTGGTGGGTTTTGGTGGTCGGAATGTTACTTTATGTGGTTTGCGGAGGTTGTCCTCTTACCTGGACTGGTTTCTCCATTGAAGCCTTCTCTGGTCTATTCGAGTTCTTGAAGCTATCTGTTTCTTCTGGGATTATGCTTTGGTATCTCTATATTTTAATTCTCTTTTCAATTTTCAGCACCATACTTATCGAGTTAAAAAAATTGTCAATCACTTATAGTGAAATTTCACGCTTGTTGAACTTCATTTTATTTGAAAAACCAATCCTTTAAATTGGTTGGTTTTTCTAATAGAATATCTGATGTGAAGAATGTCATTCTAATGATAACAAAATAAAGTATACCCAAACACATTTCTCATTAGTTCCTTCTGATTTTTCTCTAACAATTACAACCATGTTTTACACAGTTTGGAGAACTGGTATTATAGAATACTTATATTGATGACTGGAAATATGAAGAATGCAGAAATTGCAGTTGATGCCTTATCAATTTGGTAAGAGATGACGCTGCAAAATAAATTCTTTCTAGTCTATAAAGTACTGAATCGAATTAAACAATATAGTAAAATATATCTTACTTATTTTCTTTCTTACCAATGTTCAAATTTGCAGCATGGCAATAAATGGGTGGGAAATGATGATTCCACTGGCTTTCTTTGCTGGAGCTGGGTAAGGAATTTAGTCAAGTCATTTATGCTTCTTGTTTCCATTTTCAATGAACGAGAGACCTCACACACATTGCAATTTATTGAAGGTTGGTTCAAATGGCTAATTCTGCTGTCTCTATATGGACAGTGCCATCTCCAGCACACAAAAATAATAGATGGAACATTGTAAAGAAACCAATTTTATAGCTCATGTTCCATATGATACTTCGCGTCACCATCCATCTCATAAGTTTCGTAGGATCCACATCGATGTCCTCGCTGTCCACTCTGAATTATGCCAGTATAGATCAAAAATCGGTTTTGGGAATGTCGAAGCCCTCATCAATCTCTCCATGTATATACCCAGTGCATCTCTTACATAGTTGTGTGCACTTGGAACAAAGCTGGGTACACCTTCCCAAAGTGTAGAGTATTAAGACTTGGGTTTTACTTTCATCTTAAAATATCAACCTTATTAAAAGGAGTAATCAAAGCCCTTAGAACTTCACCTATGTTTTCATCTTTATTTGATGTGAGATTTATCCCTTAACATATCCCGAAAATAATGGCTCTTTTGAGCCCACCAATCTTGAAATTCACGTGCTCCTTTTTGAGTTTTAATCGGATTTAATGGCTCTTTAGAACTTAATGAATTTTAATACCATATTAAGATTTTGGGTTCCATCCTAAAATGTCAATCTTATTAAGATGAGTAGCTCAATTCCTTATAACTTGATTTATGTTTGTATCTTTATTCGATGTGGGATTTATCACTTAACATAGAGGTCCTCGTTGCACCTGAAATATATGGAGATCAACTATTAGACCTATGTAATTCATATCCTTTTGAAAACAATCTTACACTAGATAATCACCACTGCCTGTAAGTTTCTTTATGAGTGTTTTCTGGACTATAGTAACCTCCTGTTCACAGTTACCATTAGAAGTTGATGATTTTCTGGATCCTGAGAGTACTTAGTGTACTAAGTCCTCCACTGAAAACTTTAATTGAAAACTAATTTTGACACTGATGAGCTGATTCTTTATCTCAATTTCACCCAAGTCAGCCAAATGGAGCGTCGAGAGAATTAAGATAAGAGCATTTTTGGGATCTGTACTAATGAATATTGGAAAACATATTATGGGATTGTTCGGTATTAATTTTGAGAATTGATTTTTTGAACGTTAGGAGAAAAGTGACGGTCACCTGTGAGAGAAGAAGTCAAAAATTACGGCTAAAACAGTGAAATAACGATTAAAGAATCAAATTTTTTGTGTGAAAAATCACTCCCAAACGGGCCGTTGTAAAATGCACATGAGATACTAAGAAAGGCTACTCTTTTTCTTAACTTCAAATGACAAAGAGACATTGAAGTTGCGAACGCTTACGTCCCCGGAGTCCTCTATTTTACTAACAATCATGTTACATGAACAGAAAGTTTGACGGGATTTTATCATTAGACTATTTTAAACACAGTCAACTTTCTCATCCATTCATTGCTTGCCATGGTGTCTTCCATAACAAATTTACAACATGTTTGATTCAGGATAAGGGTGGCTAATGAACTTGGAGCAGGAAATGCAAAAGGAGCCAGATTTGCAGCTATAGTCTCTGTTACAACATCTGTAGTCATTGGAATTTTCTTCTGTCTATTAATTATTATTTTCCACAATGCAATTGGGAGCATTTTCTCTTCCAGCAAGCCTGTTCTTGATGCAGTAAACAAGCTCACTGTTCTCTTAGCCTTCACTATTCTTTTCAACAGTGTTCAGCCAGTTCTTTCTGGTATAATGCACTTTATTGAAACTTTTACCCCCCAAAAATAAAAAAAATAAAAAATAAAAATACGTACTTGTATCGAAAGTAACTCTTTTACTATTATCACAATAAATAACTTATTTATCTCTCACTTTAATTGATAAAAAATAAAAAATTTCGAAACTTATGTACTTATACTTAAAATTTTAATCTTAGCCAAACATTCTATTGATTATATTTTTGCCTTGCAGGAATGGCGGTTGGATTAGGATGGCAAGCAAGGGTGGCATACATTAATATAGCATGCTACTATATAGTTGGGCTTCCAGTAGGATTTCTCATGGAGTGGGTTTTCCACCAAGGAGTGGAGGTGATTTTTAATTAATCAAAATCCATTCATCTGTTATTTTTATTTTTATTTTTTTTTCTCCATAATTTGTACTTTAATTTCTGCAGTTTATACCGGTTTTCTTATTTCTTACTTATCAGGGTATATGGGCTGGAATGATATTTGGTGGAACTGCATTTCAAACATTGATTATAGCCGTCATTACCATGAGATGTGACTGGGAAAAAGAGGCAAGAACTTTCTTTTTCTTCGAAGAAACAAAACTTTTATATATGTATAGAGAAAGACTGAACATTACACAATAGTTTGAAAAAGAAAAGTGGAAATTTTTTTTATAATATTATCTAGCCGTGTTCAATATTATGTAGCAGACCATTTATGCATTCAAGAAGATGTTCGTTGCTACCAATTAATTTTTGTTTGAAATTGCAGGCATTGAAAGCAAGCCAGCGTGTAAAGAAGTGGGCAAGCTTGGGTTAAAGGAGATACATGTTGAATGCACACAATGAGAGGAAACTCAAGAACAAACATCTAGTGTATTTGCATAAATTGTTAGGTTCATATTTTGATTTTATAGTTATTACGAGATAATCCTTGTTTTGAAAAACAAAGAGACTGAATTAGTCCCCAATCTAGTTTCACACCACCCCAAACTAAGAATTAGGTTCGATTTAGTAGGAAATTAAAGTTTAATTCCAAAAGTTTAATTATTAAATGAAGTAGCTCATTTTCATTACTAGTACATTATCTATCTATGTTTAGTTGATGTGAAATTTTGTTGAATTTTCCAAGAAATCCTTAGTGGTAGGAGTATTAACTGGGGTGAGTCGCTTGTTGACTCGTCTCAGCCTATTATCGAGTCGAGAGACGAATTTCTTGGGCGGGCTGCTTATCGACCATTGTGTTAGCCAGCTCAAGTGAGGCGAACCGAACGACTAAACTTACCCCATTTAAAACCCCTAACTACAGGTAGTATTTTGTTTTATATAAGGCTGCCCCTTTACCATCTCATCTCAGGGGATGGTCTACAAAATTCATAATCACTCTTTCTAGTAAGGATGTTACCTAGTTATTATTGTAAAATTGTTTAGCGTATCTTTTTTTTTTTGGTAATATTGAGAATAAAAAAAAAATGTAATTGCTACAGGGAAATACACAATCAAACATCCAGTTAGTGAGTACAATTCAAAAATTTTAACTAGTATAGAAGATTGAGAGCTAAAGAGTAAAAATAAAATTTATAGCTGCTTATAATTTTTATTCATGCAAATTCGTGATTCACAAATCAATTGAACCAATTAAAGCATATTTATCAGACCAGACCCGAACAATGCAATGGGCTAGTGAGTCAGTGGTTCAGCTGTCGACCCGGTGGGTCAATTCTTGTCAAATATATTTATTAACTATTTCTATTTTATGATAAATTCCAACATTTTCTACCACCAAATTAAATTAACTTATGTTATTTTGGTGGCAAAAGAACAACCTTATGAAAAAAAATTCAACACTCACTAGATCACATATTATGAAAAGGATAAATTTTGGTGTACATAAAATATGTACATTGGAGTGTCCAAATGCGGAGGCAATGGGTAGAATTATGGCCTAGATGTTAGCATTAGCCCAATTCTAATTTAAATCTCAACCCAAGTCCAATGCTCAATTATTTAAATTGTATTAAAGACACTACAATTATTAATTACTCTTTTCAATACATTCATGAAATGTGAATATTTTATTATCAAATTAGATATTCTATTTAATGCATGTTTGACTGAAATTTACTTATAATTATTAAGTAAATTTTATTACAGATAATTTGTATTGATTATATCTAAAAGTAAATTACTTATTCTAATAGTTAAAGACACTACGTATTTTTCTAAATTACGTATGTTTTCATTCATTACTAATTCATGTTTATATAAAAAAAAAAAAACTCATTTTGACCATAAAGTAGATATTATTATCAAAATAAACAACTTACTATAGATTTGATATTGACAATACAAAGAATATGTGTTAAAAACTTATGTATTTATAAAATAATCTATATCGACAATAAAAAAATATTTGTTAAAACTTTCAGTTGTTTGGAAAGATTGGTTGTCGAAATTACTATAAGAGTACTCATTAAGTAATTTTTTAAATGTTCATTGGCGGATGTGTATTTTTGCTTAATCCTATCATGATTCAGTTAGTTTACATTTTTTAAGGTAAGCATTGATTTTCTATTTCGTAAAATAATAATAATAATAATAATAAAATACAAAAATTTAGTGAAATATTTTAATGTGAGACGTCTAATTTTTTTTTTTTATTTCATTAAGTGTCATATACTTTTTGTCGTGAATGTCATGAAAATAGCCTCAGAAACTCGATTTCTTGTGCATATACTTTTTGTCTTGAATGTCATGAAAATAGCCTTCGAAACTCGATTTCTTGTGACGTAAGTTCATTTAAATTTTTTTAAATAATCCATTTATGAAAAATCCATTTGCAACATCAAAATCAACAACTAGTGAGTAGTGACAAAAACAATATGTCAAAGTTCAACAAGAATCCAATAAGAACCTATAAACAAACCTCTCATCAAGAAAGGAATCAAATATGAAATAACCATCACGAACTTGTACCTTCCAAGTTAAAGCATTCACCTATATGAACGAATTCATCATCAACAACATCATATTTTCATTTATACATTACCCATCCATAAAACAACACAGTACCCACCATTAGCCTAAAGAAATAAAAATTCATCAAGGAAGAAAACTGAAGGACCATTGTCCGAAGTTACTGCAATTGCCTAAAGATTGAAGCAGTCTTCAACAACAATTTTTAAATTTATGCATTACCCGTAATAAGGCAAATTGTTATTTAAAATGTGGGGAATCTCTTATTTTCCTTGGGAAGCTAACATGTGACTATTTCTGCTAAAATCATTCTCCCATAAGACAGCTCCAAATTTAAAATTAAAGTTGTACACTATTGACACATAAAAATTCAGCCCAAGTCGAACAGTCCAAGGAGTAAAGCCCAATTGGAGAATCCCCAAAACGGATGGCCCAAAGAATGAAGTCCAACCGAACGAGTCAAGGTAAAGGCCCAAAGAATAAAATCCAACCGAACGAGTCAAGGTGAAGGCCCAAACAAAGGGCCCAAGAATGCGGTAACGCCATCGCCCAAGTTTGCAAGTCGCTCAGAATCTGAACGAATGGGTGTCATACGGTCGCCCAGAGCTGTTATTCTGCTCTCGCCCAAACCTTCAAGTCGCCCAAGGTGTCAACAAACATAACGCATCATAGTTATCAAGGAATGCAGTTATCAAGGCAGTTGTTAAAGTAGCCTTATCACGTTCCACAACTCAAGGAATTCAATCGAAGGCAGTTGAACGATGAAAGATAATGGCAGCAGTTAAAAGGCGGTTTCATGACAAAATGGCCACTACCAAGAAAGTGGGTAGTTATAGGACGATCAAGCAGTTTTCAGAGTAGTTAATCACAAAGAGATCGTCTATGAGGTATAAAAGGGAGAAAAGACGTAGAAGCAAAGACCGAATCCAAAACTCTCGAACAGAGAATATGTAATTTTCATTTCTTTAGCTTTTAGACTTAAACACTTTCCTTTCTGTAACTCGTGTGCTTGCGCCCCTTGGAGGCACGTTGTTTTTCGTTTCCAATTGTAAAGTTCATCGCCAATAAAAGAACACCCCTTTTTGGGACTTTGTCTCAAGAGATTTCGTCCCTTACACAATCGTCTGATCCCCTTTAATTGTTAGTGAGTTAACCCGCGCGAAACAATTTGGCACGCCCAGTGGGACAGTGGTGTTAGGTGTTGAAAGTACAAAAGGTGAAACAATATGCCTCAGAGATCCGACAAGGAAGGAGCAAGTCAGGGAGGAATCCAGTCTGTAATCGAGCGATATGAGGAGCAGCATGCCTCTCCACGAACAGATGGACAAAATCAGAGCAGACCTCTTGCAAGTCACTTTCAAACTAGGACGATCGTAGGACATAATCCTTCAGTCCCAAGTCCAAGTCAAGGGGTAGAACCACTTTCTGGCCCCTCTACTTCAAACCAAGGAGGTGCTACAATACCAAATCAAAGTAGTAGTAGTGGTATGCCTAACTTGGGGGGTAATCCAAACGTGAGAGTTAATGTCCTAAACAATGGATAGAATATTCCACGTGGTAACGAGGGGGTAGATGTCCAGGCTAATGGTAATGGCCCTAATTATGGTAATTTTGTTGCCAATCAAGGACCAAACATCAGGCCTCATGCAAATCAACCGGTTAATCAACCTGTAGGAATTCCGTATGATCCCAATGTCATGTTGAGGAATCAGATTATGGAAATCGTGCAGGATCAGATGGCCTTTGGGGTGCGTCCTGTCATTAGGCCGACGTACACAAAACCATATCCTGATTGGGTAGACCAAGCATATCCATGGCCTAGAGGTTACAAAGTGCCAGAATTCTCACTGTTTACTGGTCTGGGAGAGGTGTCTACTCTAGAACAAATAGGGCGATTCACGTTGCAAAGTGGTGATGTAACCGATTACCATAAAATGAGACTTTTCCCTAGTTCGTTAACAGGAGTAGCTTTCTCCTGGTTCATCAATTTGCCAGCGAACTCTGTTCAAACATGGCAACAATTGGAACAGTTGTTTCACGCTCAGTTTTATAAAACTGAGTCTGAAGTCACTTTGGCCGATTTGGCAGATTTACGTCAAATGCCAAACGAATGGGCAAAAAGTTTTCTCCAAAGATTCAAGACAGCAAGAAGCAAATGTTTTGTACCTTTGCCCGAAAAAGAATTTATCAAAATCGCTCAAGGCTGCTTGAGCTTTGATTTAAAAAAGAAGTTTCAGGACAAAGAGTTCCCTGATCTTTTCCAATTGAGTGCGAACGTGATTAGGTATGAACGACTGATAAGAGAAGAAGAACAAATGAAGAATTCTAGTAAAGGGACTTATTACAAAGACCCAAATTTTAATGTTCATACCATTGACGACGAGTTGTACGATCAGGCCGAAATATGTTTGGCCGAATTGGTCAAAGGAGAGACATATACTTGTCCCATAATGACCAAACCTAGATCGTCGGGCAAAGATGATGAGCCCATAAAAGACGGGAACATAAAGACTAGAACGTTCTCGTTCGATGTGACCAAAGCTGACCTTATATTCGACAAATTATATAGGGATAAGCAGATAAGATTGAGCGATAAGTACAAATTGCCAAACCCTGAACAAATTAAGGGTAAAAAATATTGTAAATGGCATAATGCATGGTCACACCTGACTAACAATTGCTTGGTTTTCCGTCATGTATTACAGGATGCTATTGAGTCAGGACGAATTACGTTCGATGACAAGAAAAAGATGGCAGTGGACGAGAATCCTTTCCCACAGCCACTCGGAGTAAACATGGTAACATCTGGATTCAAGAACAAGTTACCAAAATTCAAGTTAGTCATAGATGACGGAGAAGAAGATCCAAGACCACATCCCAGCGTCTTCGAACGAATCAAAGGAAAAGAACCAAAAAAGGACGAAAACGTCCTATGTGCAAGATGTAAAAGAGAAATAAATGGAGACACGGAGAAACCAGAGACATGGCAGCATCCCCATCGCCCTGCCTTCTTCCCAAACATTCAACCTGGTAGAGGGCGAGGTACATCGTTCTATAGAGGACCGCCTTTTGAAAGGCAGTTCAGACCAACAGATGTTGGAAGAACATTTA